TTTACAGCTGTACACACTGGATCTGCATTCAGATCTGAAAATGATGCAAAGCCCCCCTTTAATTTCACCCAGCCATGAGAAACTGCTCCTGGGATAGTGGGAACCTTAGAGCAGGCAGCAAACTCATCTATCTGCACAACTTAATCCATTCTTACTGCTGGAATACACAGAAGGACAAAATAGTTAAACGTCCATTAAGGAGTGGAGTTAGGAGGGGAAGATAGGTCTTCAACGCTTCTCTTTCCTGGAGTGTGCATATTATTTTCCTTCCTTGGAAACAGCTTTGGTATAGACAAGCAACACCAAAATCAATTAACTTTTAGCTTGCTTAGTACAAACTCCTCCCAGCCTGACTCTGACAATTGAAACTGGGAACTCCTTAACAGCCACGCCTTATTAGGCAGTCCTTAGTCTCTACTAAGACTGAAGTGCCACCAAACTGTCACTTCAAAAAATATCACCGAAAACCACCACCAGTCTTTCTGTCCGAGTTCAGTAGACAACTACTTGGCTAAGCATATTTTATAATATTGCAAGTGTTTTCCTAGCAAGAAGTTCTATGAGGAATTCATGTACTCCTTGACTAGATTTCTAAATGCTGTGGTGGCTGCAAAGAGCCACATCAGGTCTGCTGCCAGCATACCTTGAGAAAGTTCAAAACACATAAGCAATTCCATTGTGAAGCCCTTCATGGGAGAAACAAGAGTCACTGCTAACAACCAACAGGTATCAGGAAGGGTTGCCACAGCCTTAGGGTCTTTCTCCTGCACACTTTCCCCAAGCCATAACAAACACACTGAGACCCATATTAATGGAAGCACTAACCTTTTGGTTGGGGGAGGAAAAGTTTTATTTGACTTATAGGTTGCAGTCAACTGACAGAAGGGGCAGGACACAGAAACCATGGGGGAACACTGCTTACAGGCTTGCTTCTCTTTCTTAACCAGGACAGTCCTGCAGGCCTAGGATTAGCAGCACCCACAGTGGGATGGGCCTGTCTGCATCAAGTAGCAATCAAGAAAATGACCCATAAATCCTACAGACATGGCCACAGGTCAACTGATCTAGAAAATTCTTCAGCTGAGGTTCCCTCTTTCCATGTATGCCAAATTGACAACTGTCTTAGTTAGGGTTTCTATTGCTGGGATCAAATACATTACCAAAAATTAAATTGGAGAGAAAGGGTTTCTTAAGCTTACATTTACACATCTCGTTCATCATCTAGGGAAGTCAGGACAGGAACGCAAACAGGGTGGCAACTGGAAGGCAAGAGCTGACGCAGAGGCCATGGAGAGGTGACGGATGCAAGCGATCATAGAGTGGTCTTGTTTACTAGCTTCCTTAACATGCTTGCTCAACCTGGTTTCCTATAGAACCCAGAAACGCCAGCTCAGGCATGGCCCCCTCACAATGGGTTGGACCCTCTCCCATCAACCAGTCTTTTTTTCCCCACAGGTCAGTCTTATATAAAAAATCCTCTCAGATGACTTTAGCTTGTATCAAGCTGATATAAATTATCTAGCACAACAAATGAAATTATGACACTAATGATGAGTCTTGCTTATGTGTCAGGTCTGAGCCACGTTAGTCTGCACATGTTCCCTGTGTCTGGATACTTAAGAAGTGTAGCAGATGATTTCCTGGAGAATTCAACTACATCTCTTCCAAAAGCCTTTTTAAATGCAGGTATGTCATTATCTAGTACCAGGAGTATGACATGAACTATAGGGAAATCTGGGCAAAATACAGGACATTAAAAATAATTATACATATATGCACGGTAAAGGACACTGGAGCTGTTTCACTTATGCATACTATAATTTCTATTTAGCCTCTGAAGGAGCCTGAGAGCTATAGACTTTAAATCCAGGGTGTCTCACTTCGGCAACTATCATAATTGCCTTCCAAAACAATGTCAAATAACATTATACTGTCAATTCCTAATTATGCACATGAAGAGAGCCGAGGGATACAAAGATAATTGGCATTCACAATTAATCCTCAAAATTCATTTTGACTAATAGTTAAAGCCTCTCCCATGACTAAACCTCTTCCCTGAGCACTGAATATAGTAAAATCGACTAGTTAAATGTTTGACTTTGCTGTCCCCTGGCTATCCTTCAGTTGAAACATGAAACAGTGATCAGTCAACCTTGAAGAGATGGAAGAAAAACATAGAAGCTACATAATTAACAAATTTGATAATAAAACCCTGAAAATTAGATTTGTTTACATTTACAACTGTGACTTGCAGCATTTTTGTAAGATCTGTGTGTAACATAGGAACTCACAAAGAGTGTGGCAGGCCACACAAGACCTTACAGCTTTAAGTCAGATGGGGAGGGAAAAGTAGACTTAGGGTCCCAACCCTAACAAAGAAGTTATCTACAATTGAGCACAGGTTGGCAAGAGAAAGAACTGTTTTCTTCAGTGGTTTCACTGGGAGAAATTGTAAGCGTTTCGGGATGAGTCAGGACAGGGTGGAACAGGAGTCAGGTATTCTGGCACTCGGGAGTCACAGAATACTGAGTGTTACACAGCTCAGGTGGAAAGGTATCCTGGAGCTTGGGAGCCAAGGACCACCACAGGTTGCAGTAAACTTAGCTGCTTACAGCCCAGCCTCAGGGAAAGGCTTCCCCAAAGTATTGGCTCTGCTCCAGCAAGACAGGGTCTTCCAGCTGGGGATGTTCTGCCCAGTGTAGCAGTTTTGCTCCGCAGGAGGTTTCTCAGGCAAAGTTGCTATAGTTCAGCTCTGCTCCAGGAGAGTGGAGAGCGGAGCAGAGTGCAGAATGTAACAACTCTGCTCTGCCAAGGGAAAGTCTCCCAGGCAAGGGTTACAGCCCTGCTCTCCCTGCTCGCTCTGCTCTGCCCAGGGTCGCCTCTGCTCTGTTGCCTCTACAAAAGAAGATCTTCACCCAAAGCTCATCCGAAGGGGTTTATTGGAAGGCAGCTGGACCAGCCAAGCTGAACATACACAGGGTTTATACAGGGATTCTCGGGGGCAGGGAAGTTTTTCCAGGGTAAGGATTGGTCAGATTTTAGTGCTGAGCTCAGATTGGCTAGAGCTCTGCTTGAGGATTGGTTACTTTTCTGCACAGGATTAAGGTCAGATTTGGCTCTGGTTTCAGGGCCAAAGTGTGTTTCTTTCACTGATCCTTTTTAGCCTTTTAGCTCCAATTTTAGGGCCAGGGTGCATTTCTTTCACTGACTCTGATTACAGGGACAAAGTGTGTTCCTTTGGCACTGGTTTTAGGGTCAGGGTACATTTCTTTGGTTCTGGTTGCAGGGCCAAAGTGTGTTTCTTTGGCTCTGCTCAGGGTGTGTTCCCTACAGAAATCAGATATCAGATCAGGCCTAATGGCATGGAGTAGCTGTAAAACATGAACTTAATTCAAAGGTATCGTTGTAGACATTTTGTTTTTGGCGGTTTGGTTTTTTTTTTTTTTTGTCATATTGGTCTTTTGTTTTGTTTTGTTTTGTTTTACTTTTTTGAGTTTTTGGGGGGGGGGGAGTTGCTGTTATTTACTTTTTGTGGGTTTTCTTATTTTTGCTTTTATTTCTGTGGAAACCAAAACACTGGGTGGAGAGGGAGGTTGGCAGGATCTGGAAGAAGTTGGGGAAGTAGATAAATATGATCAAAATATACTGTATGAAAAAATGTTAATTAAAATAAGATGGGTGCATAAATTTGAGCACGTTGCAGTTTTAATTCAGTGCTCTTCTGATAAATTTCATAACTCTGACTTTCTTGTTTAAAGTTTCACTGTATAAGAATCCTGTATTTATTTTACACGTCTTCAAAATGTTATCAAACTATTAGTCTCATGTTAATAACTAAACTATGTATAGAGAAATCATTTTCATGTCAACAAAAATGTTATGTTTTGTTGGAATTCACTAACAAAGACACTGGAAAAACCTTACACTTGGTGCAGATGAATTCAGAAATTACAACTTGAATTATTATTTTTTTAATTTCAATGGAACATTCTTGAGCAAGTAACCTGTTTGAGCTATGGAAACAGGTTATGAAGACTCAATTAAAACACTAAGGCACCCACATGTTTTACTCAAATTGATTTCAAGATCTAGACTTCTTTAACACTTTTACTCACTTCTGTGTGGCTCCCTAAATATGGATATGTAGCTAAGCCTACTAAGCTCACAAGATGGATCACTGCTGGGTCTATTTGATCTTGAATTAAGACACAAGGGATTATAACTACAAATGAATTCAGGGAGATTTTTACTGTCTTTGACATCTTTATGGATAACCATCTTTCTTTTATCTGCTTAAAGAAAAGCGTTATATGGCTCTTACAAACACTGCCTTACAAATCTAAGGCTTTACAAATATAAGTGTATCTAATTATATGCATAAAATTATTCAAATTTTCTAGAACTTTCAATCGGAACTGCTCATGATCTGTTGCTTTCTTCCAAACATTTGTCATCTCTTTCCATCAACATTTAGTAGCCCAGTTGTGGGGGAGGAGACCGTTATTTAATCAGTGCTATCACTAAACAGCCAAAACCAAAACTACCTAAGAAGGCAGCCAGCCCTACAGGGGCAAATTATTCAGGACTGCACAATCGGACCCGGTGCAAGACCCTGGGTGCAGTCTGGGCTTCATTCTTTAAAGCCCAGAGGCACAGGTGTCCCTTAATCTCTCTTAACGACGGAAGTTATTGCGAAGGTATTCTGAGGATTTTTTTTTTAAGGACAACCACTAAATCAGAGAACTGAATCATTTCCTTGAGGCACCTTGATGTCAACAACAGCCCTCAATGCCACAGACCTCGGTCCTGGAAGGCTTCCCTATGCTTAGGGCCACAGATGAACCTACACTCCTAGAACGGCTTCAGTGGGCGGCTGCCACACGCTGGGGTGATGAGGGCTCCACCTGGGCCTCCCAGGTCGCTGCATGAGGTGGGGCAGCTCCCAAGCGCCCCCAGAGGGAGCCCCTGCGCAGGCCCCCCGTCAGTCACCAGAAGGATACGCTCCAGGTAGTAGGCGCCCTCGGCGGCCACCGGCTCTGGCGCATCGCCCCCAGGCGTCAAGTCAATGCCAAGCGCCTCCTCCAGCACCCGCAGCGGCGGCACCCCACGCGGAGCAGCCATCCCTGCTGCCGGGCCCTACGGCGCCCCACGGACCGGCGTGGCCACTCTCGCGAGATCTCTGGACCCTTGGCCTCAAAAAGCCCAGTACCTAAGGGCGAAGTCCAGAGCCCTCTGCGCGTCCGCAGTTACCACGGCAACGCGTTGCCTAGCTACCACCAGACGCCCCACGCGGCTTGTAGAGGAGACTAGATGCCACAAACCAGAGGCTTCGATTACATTTTTACCCAGGCTGCTTGGTTTGCTTTTGCTTGGTTTGGTCTTTTGCTTTGACACCGTTCTTCCTCGCTTCCTTTTCTTCATTGCTTTCCTTTGCTCTTGTTTCTCAAGTGCCAAACATCAGTCTTCAACTTTTAGATGTGTACAGAACCCCAAATGTCTCTAGTGGGGTCAGACTTAAGGAGGAAAAGTTCTAGAAACCATTATTGGCTGAGTGAGGAGCTGCCAAATGCCCCTCAAACCCTTAGCAATGAAGAATGTATTACACCCTTTCTAGCGATCTTTTAATTCTTTTATGCGGACATCTGTTTTGACTTGGCTTCATACACACGGGCTTGGAATAGTCCCAGTCGCATCAAATTATAGCATTGATTTTTGCTGAGGTAAACCCACGTCCATAAAAATTATATAAAAATTATGAGCTACCTATGACCCTAACATAAAGTTTAACATGATATTGGGGCTAGGGAATGTACTTAAGTGCTTCCTCTGAGGGAAGAGGGCAGGAGAAAGGGGAGGAGATGAATGGGCGAACCAGGCAGGCGAGAAAGAAGAGACAAAGGGAAGGAGGGGGAGAGAGAGGATTTACTGATTTGTCCAGTCATGTGACTTATTGTTGTGACCGGAATTTCTTTGTGTTTATATGGTGTATGTATATAGGCATCATTAAGACCCTCTTCCTTTCATATTCTTTTTATTCTGCATTTCTTGATGAATTCCAGTTGGTAACTATATGAAAGCTCCCCTTTAAAAGAAGGAAAGAAAGGAGAAAGAGAGAGGGAGGGAGGAGGGAAGGGAGGGAGGGGGGAATTGATAACTTTTTAGGGTGTGATTGAGAACCCCAGTGGTGAAAGGTGGAACTAACCAAGAGCCAATTTCTATCACGACTTAGCTATAGCCTCACCAACTGCCTATAGGCCTCAGTCCTCATTTGTAAGCGGAGAATAGTGTCACCTACCTCCAAAGGTTGCTATTCGCCATAAATCAACAAAGCATTAGGAACCCATTCAGAGCATACAACACTAAGAAATAGGAACTGTTTCAATTAAACACATTTGTCTTGGTTCTGAGCTTTCGTATACAGGACACAATGATATTGAAACAGTTCAGGTCACTGTCATTTTCTCACACCAAATATTGAGTATTCATCAAATGAATGAAACTGAAAATACAAGAGAGGAATTCTGAAAATAGGAGATCCCTTGAATCTGCTTGTCATTTCCAAGCAAGCATGACCTCAGCTGCCAAGATGTTTATCAGTAAACTGAGCCCTGAAAGGGGACCTGGGTAAGCAGTAGCCAGGGTCATGCACTGTTGATGCCTCGAAGAGCAAGCAGAAACGTAAGGCCTGCATGGGACAGTCTCTTGGGGCTTCTAATGTTTAGTTTATTATCTGCTAGAAAATCTCTGTTGTCTTTGAATGGAGTGTGTCCTCTTCTACAGACAGCTTGATGTCCAAGGCCTTCCTCATTGTCTTGGCAAATTAAGATCCCTGAACTACACTTACTGTTCTCTCATAAACACCTTAAAAATCTCTCTAAGTAGATATAGTGTTAAGTGTAAAAAGTAAAATATATAAAAAGTTCTTTCCCGGCACTCAGGAGGCAGAGGCAGATGGATCTCTGTGAGTTCAAGGCCAGCCTGATCTACAGAGTTCCAGAACAGCCAGAGAAGTTACACAGAGAAATCCTGTCTCAGAGAGAGAGAGAGAGAGAGAGAGAGAGAGAGAGAGAGAGAGAGAGAGAGTTCTTATCATCATTTCTGACATATCAAATACTTTCTACAAGTAATGCAAATAAAATTTACTTAAAATACTGTGACTGTGTAGAGCCCAAATTGAATATTTGTAAAGCATTTAACACATAGGAATTGTTATATGGTAAAGTCATAGTCAGCATTTGAATATAAGAAATAGGTTAACATGAAATATAGTATAAGAATGAACAACCAAAGATACTTGTCAAAAGGTCTGGAAATGAAAAAGAGGTATTTTACACCCCTAAAAAGAAAATATGTGAGTCTCATTATGTCAAGCTTCCAAGTAACAAAGGTATTAATTGAGTTACTAATCCATTTATATCCGTGTAATAGATTTCAATTTTTAAACTCATCCAAGATGTGGTGCCTATTACATTTGAAAGTATATTCCAGAGACTTGATCATTAATGTTTCAAAAAATTCAAATTGAAGTTTTAGCAAGTCTGTAAGTTCTTTGATATCCTCAGTGGATAAACAATGTATTAAAGAACAATTTGATTAAAAAATTAACAAACATAAAAATAATGTTTTCAGATTTTCAAAAAAGAAGGAATCTGTGATGACCGCTATTCTCTTAGAAGTCCTATATCTTTGCAAAGAATGCATTTGAACCCTGCCTTGCTGTGTTCTGGAATTGCTAGTCTGTAGGCACTGCTTTAATTTAAAGGGGATAGGGAAAACACACACACACACACCAACAACAACAACATTAGATTACAATAGTGGTTTGAGGTATGATATACTTTTATCCTATAGATGTTCGTTTTTCTTTTTTGGTATGTTTTACATGCTTCCTTAAAGTGGGGATGAAAAAAAAAACCAGTGCCTTCGCATTTTGATGAATGAGCAAGAAACTGCTTTTTGCTTTGACTGTGTTCCCGAAAGAGGTAAACAAAGAGAACAGCAGAGACAGTCTAGATGAAGCAACAATTACAAAGGGCAACAAATGTAATCTCCTCTCAACCTAAATGCTCCATTTATGCAAAAGTGAAATTATTTTTAAAAGCAAAACCAGAAAGCAATCTGGCAATGAATACACTCTGCACATGTATAGTTTCAAAGGAGAAAACACCCACATGCAAATATGTTGCAAAGTACAATTCAATTATCAAAGATAATGGCATCCATTTGCTACCAATACAGCCCAAGCCATTTACTGATGCACCTTTTATACCAGTAGTTTTCTTATTTTCATTCAAAACTTCACAGTAAGTGGTAGTCAGGGTTAGGATTTCTGAATTCATAGAAATAGTAACAATTGTGCTGAAAATTATCATTTTTTCAAACCACATGAGACATATTTTTTCTTTTTGCACTAGCATCCATTTAAAAATACATTCCTCCCTTATTCTTTCACTGTGTAATTCCAACAGTCACTCAGTTCTCTGTGGTGAGAAACATGTGACACAAGCTCATCCCAAAAGACCCTCTCATTTCTTTTGGCTACTCAAAAACCTCTGATTTCCAATATAATTCTTGTTTCTAGTACTTTCAAATTAAAAGGAATAAGGGATTTCTGGGAAAAGTAGATGATTCTCAGCCTTGCCCCGGAGGGTACAAAAGGACTCTGAGGAAATTTTACAGTACCAGAGAGCACAGAAAAAAAAGCATGTCCTATTAGAAAGAAAAATCTAATTACAATGATGGGGCTGTATCAAAAGGATACAGTCATCCACCAAAGGAGCTATAAGGGGCAAAGTAAGGCCAACTGTTGAAGTTAAAAAAATAGTGTTGGAATATAAGCCAAAGTTCAAAATTAGTATCTGAGTCCATGCTGTCATTAGGTAATGTTTTAAGAAACAAGTAAACGAGAGATGAGAGGACAGCCTATGAAGAAGAATTACACAAAAAAGTAAGTAAATCCATAAAAACACAAAATTGAGAACCAGAAATTCAAGAAAAAGGTCAAAAGCCCCCCCCAAAATGCCCAACAAAGCAATATGAGATAAGAAGTCTACAAAAATGCTATTGAGTTTGTTTTGGGTTGGCCATCTGCTGCTGGTCATGGTGCCTACCCATAAGTGAGGTTAACATACTCAGAGAAACTCATTGGTGAGAACTAATTTCTCCTTTGTAAGCAGATGTCAAGTGGAGGTAGCTTCGTGGTTGGGGACATCACTGTGCACTTTTAAACTGTGGGTTACACATAGCAAGTCCTAAAGAAAATGGTATAGAAATGTTGGAGGATTTGTGTCTTGCACTTTTAATTAAGACACTACTGTAAATAAATACAGATACATATATACACATATACACATATATATCTGTATATGATGTATAATAAATACCACTGTAAGTAAATGCAGATATATATATAACCTACATTTGATAATCAATGTTTATCAAATCCAGTTTTTTCTAATTTCTTTCATACATGTTCTTCCATACTTTTCCCCATGTTCATTTGCAGCATATAAGGCCCCTCTGTGCCCTTTCAGATTTGTGCAGAATATGCCAGATTGCAAGGCTTATCCGTCATGTATGCAGCTTCTCTAATCACCTATGTAGTATGCCGGTGTGGCATGGTAGGTGGAGTGGTAAACCAAAAAGAGAAGTTTTTTCTACCATACGCTGCTTCTGGTCATGGTGTTTTATCACAGCAACAGAAAGGTAACTAAGACAGCAGGTCAAGGAGATCCCAATGTGGCTACCTAGACAGTAAGTCCTTACTCTCTGAAGGAAGAGAACTAGCTCATTTTCTGCATCCTGTAATGCTTCCTGCTTTCTCCAAAAGTGGAGGACTGACCTTCTCTTGGTTTCTATGCAATAACAAACCTCTGCTTGTGCGATGTCATGTGGTCCTTCTACATCACCCCAGGACGCTATCACAATTACGATGTCCATGATGTTTGCTGTTTTCCAGTAATTCTGATCTTATGTTCTGACCCAAGAGTCTCCTCACATCTTCTTGTATACCTTGGAAACTGAAACAAGCTAAGTTTGTTTTCAAACAGGATAAAATCTTGGCACCTTTGTACTTCATAGGACCATATATACACAAAGGAATGCCTGCTTTACAAAGCTGGGGTGACACATTGATCTTTTCACTTTTTCTTTTTCATATGCATACATGCTTTATAGGAAATTGTTTCAGTCAATTTGAATCTAAAAACATATGTTCATAGTAGCAGG